CCCCAAAACCCCAAAACCCCTAAGACTTTCAATAGTTATTGCTAGATAATTGCTATATTCAAAAATTTAAGATAATTTAGATATTATCCTTAAATTAAGAAATTAAATTAAAAGAACCATCAATTTATTTCATTTTTAGTTAATATTTGCTCATCATAGCTGTTATATTAAGAATACTCACTGTCTTTAGATCCAGCTTTAGTATTCATATAGCTAATAATTTAACTTTAAGAGAATGAACCACTTCCTGTAGCACTCTCTGTGCGAGAAGTATCAATATTCATGAATGACTAACGATTCAAGATTGCTAATACAAAAAGTTTAAGATATATTATTAGATTTACAATTTGAATTCTTTTTAGGCCAAAATACTATAATTACAGGGACTATCCAAACAACTATAGTGCTCAATTAATGAGTAAGCCAGATAATATAGCTAAGTACAAAGGAATCTGGAACAATTTCAGTGCATTCCAGAGTCTCAGTAGAGTAATGATATAGAAAGTAGCAGAATTACTCAAGAGACACAATCCAAAAGACCAATATAATCATCCTAATTTCTCTATTAAGTAATAATATTTTACCATAACTTTTTGAGATTTTGTTGTATGCTCATTTTTCTTCTATCACTTATAGGAGTTTACTTTGTAAATGCATTTAATTCTTGAGTTATCTTATATCCTATAGATATATTTAAAGGGTTTTTGGATGTACCGATTACTATAAATGTCTAGGTTAGTATTAAATTTGGCACATTTACTAGGACAAACACCAGTTAATTACAGTATTCAGAATAAGTGCCTGAAAGCTACTCTGTAACCAATTCAAAAACCAAACATAGGGCTCCAACACAAATAACATTAATAAGCCTATTGATTGTATTATTAGTTTTAATGCTTACATAAAAATACTTAAACATTTACTCCATCTATCAGATTTTAAAACATTTACTGCTCTTTTGCATATATAATAGCAGATCATCGCAAAACAATTGAATCTTGTCCTTTGAAGCCAAGTTTATGATAGATTCAAAAGTGTATTATCATTAAATATGAAGTAATGGAAAAATAAATCTAAATAAGTATGTTAAAAAGTTATATTCGTACCAAATTAGAATGAAAAACAGTTTAGAAGACCAAGAATTTTAGCATTAAACATTATTTACTTCCATTTTTAATGCCAGATTTTCCTAACCTCATAAATTAAAACATATAAAAGGAGAGCAGAAAATATCAATCCCATGAAGGATATGCCAAAAAATCTATATGAGTTTACTTTAATTTCTTAATTACACTGAGCATTTAGGAATCTACCATTTATTTTCCCAATCTTCAGCAAAGCAATGTAATACTCTTGGTTTGTACATAAAATTAGATCTGTTATTCAAGAAACGATTTAATGCAAATTATAAAATTATATAATTTAACTTTGAATTTCTAATTATTCGAAAAAAATACATGCTTGTAGTTTTGCATTACGGGGTTTTGGGGTTTTGGGGTTTTGGGG